AGGCTAAGCACTGCAAGGGAATATCAATAAAAGATAAAAATATCTATCTGGGTTCCCTGAGGGACAAGCCTGACTGCATAGGGGTTGATGTCAAAAGTATCCCCTCTCCAGGAAAAAGACATCGGGACGAGTATGGCCCTCATGCCTCACTGGACAACGACAGAGGGACTGGAGACATTACAAGGTCTCCTTCAAATACTGGAGGTCAGGTCTCTATCCCCGCCTTTGCAAGTTTAGAATTGCCACAGCCCTTCTATACTTAGAGAAGGGAGGAGATGTCAGAGGCAGCCCTGCTTACACACTGTAGGCCTAAAATCAGCCATATGCCTAAAATCAGCAATAGGCCTGTCATACATGTATACTAACACCAAGTCTTGGGTCTCAGTGGAAAAACATTGAAACAGATGGCTATAAGCTAATGTAAACAGGCAGCTTTTGTGGAAATTTACATGCGTGAGTAGTCAAAGACCTTGTAAATAGGTAGCCTTGGCAGACAATACCAACTTAGATAAGGACAAGCGAGTCATAGGCAGAGTCATAGTGACTTGTCCCCTGAACCTTCACCCAGCCAATACCCGGTTCTGAAGATATCTGTATTCCCCCTGAACACCCACACTCCAGTGTCATTCCCTTCCCCACATCCTGCCTTTCTGTGTTTATAATCCGTGTGAATTAATTATGATTTGAGAAAAAAATAAAAAATAAAAAAATAAAAAAGTCTCCCTACCAAAAAATGCCCAGGAACAGATTATTTTAGTACAGAATTCTATCAGACCTTCAAGGAAGACCTAATACCAATTCTCTTTAAACTATTCCATGAGATAGAAACGGAAGAAACACTATCCAATTCGTTCTATGAAGCTACAATCACACTCATACTTAAAACTCACAAAGATCCAACAAAGAAAGAGAACTTCAGACCAGTCTCCCTTATGAATATCGATGCAAAAATACTCAATAAAATTCTAGCAAACCGGATCCAAGAACACATCAAAACAATCATCCATCATGATCAAGTAGGTTTTATCCCAGGAATTCAGGGATGGTTCAATATTCGGAAATCCATCAATGTAATCCACTATATAAACAAACTCAAAGAAAATAATCACATGATCTTCTCACTAGATGCTGAGAAACCATTTGACAAAATTCAACACCCATTCATGGTAAAAGTCTTGGAAAGATCAGGAATTCAAGGCCCATACCTAAACATAGTAAAAAGAAATATACAGCAAACCAGTAGCCACCATCAAACCAAATGGAGAGAAACTTGAAGAAATCCCACTAAGAACAGGCACTAGACAAGGCTGCCCACTCTCCCCCTACCTATCCAACATAGTACTGGAAGTCGTAGACAGAGCAATTAGAAAACAAAAAGAAGTCAAAGGGATACAAATAGGAAAGGAAGAAGTCAAAATATCACTATTTGCAGATAGTATACTTAAGTGACCCCAAAACTTCCACCAGAGAACTCCAAAACCTGATAAACAACTTCAGCAAAGTGGCTGGTTATAAAATCAACTCAAACAAATCAGGAGCCTTCCTCTACGTGAAAGATAAACAGACTGAAAAAAAAATTAGGGGAATGACACCCTTCACAATAGTCACAAATAATATAAAATACCTTGGTATGAATCTAAACAAGCAAGTGAAAGACCTGTATGACAAGAACTTCAAGTCTTTGAAGAAAGAAATTGAAGAAGATCTCAGAAGATGGAAAGATCTCCCATGCTCATGGATTGGCAGGATTAATACAGCAAAAATGGCCATCTTGCCAAAAGCAATTTACAGATTCAATGCAATCCCCATTAAAATCCCAACTCAATTCTTCACAGAGTTAGAAAAGGAAATTCTGAAATTCATTTGGAATAACAAAAAACCCAGGATAGCGAAAACTATTCTCAACAATAAAAGAACTTCTGGAGGAATCACCATCCCTGACCTCAAGCTGTACTACAGAGCAATAGTGATAAAAACTACATGGTATTGGTACAGAGACAGGCAGGAAGATCAATGGAATAGAATTGAAGACCCAGAAATGAACCCACACGCCTATGGTCACTTGATCTTTGACAAAGGAGCTAAAACTGTCCAGTGGAAAAAGGACAGCATTTTCAACAAATGGTGCTGGTTCAACTGGAAGACAACATGTAGAAGAATGAAAATTGATCCATTCTTATCTCCTTGTACAAAGCTCAAGTCTATGTGGATAAAGGACCTCCACATAAAACCAGATACACTGAAACTAATAGAAGAGAAGGTGGGGAAAAGCCTCGAATACTTGGGCACAGGGGAAAAGTTCCTGAACAGAACACCAATGGCTTATGCTCTAAGATCAAGAATTGACAAATGGGACTTCATAAAATTGCAAAGTTTCTGTAAGGCAAAGGATACTGTCAATAGGACAAAACGATAATCAACAAATTGGGAAAAGATCTTTACCAATCCTTCATCTGATAGAGGGCTAATATCCAATATATACAAAGAACTCAAAAAATTAGACTCCAGACAACCAAATTACCCTTTTTTAAAATGGAGTATAGAGCTAAACACAGAATTCTCAACTGAGAAACTTGAATGGCTGAGAAGCACCTAAAGAAATGTTCAGCATCCTTAGTCGTCAGGGAAATGCAAATCAAAACAACCCTGAGATTCCATCTCAAACCAGTCAGAATGGCTAAGGTCAAAAACTCAGGTGATAGTAGATGCTGGTGAGGATGTGGAGGAAGAGGAACACTCCTCCATTGTTAGTGGGATTGCAAGATGGTGCAACCACTTTGGAAACCAGTCTGGCGGTTCCTCAAAAAATTGGACATAGCATTACCTCAGGACCCAGCTATACCACTCCTGGGCATATACCCAGAAGATGCTCTAACATATAACAAGGACATATGCTCAACTATGTCCATAGCAGCTTTATTTGTAATAGCCAGGAGCTGCAAAGAACCGAGACGTTTTTCAACAGAGGAATGGATACTGAAAATGTGGTACATTTACACAATGGAGTACTGCTCAGCCATTAAAAACAATGAATTCAAGAAATTCTTAGGTAAATGGATGGCAGTAGAAAATATCATCGTGAATGAGGTAACCCAGTCACAAAAATACACACATGGTATGTAGTCAAAGATAAGTGGATATTAGCCCAGAAGCTTGAAATACCCAAGATTCAACTCACAGGCCACATAAAACTCATGAAGAAGGAAGACCAAGTGGGGGTGATTCGGTCCTTATTAGAAGGAGCAACAAAATATTCAAGGGAGCAAATATGGAGACAAAGTGTGGGACAGAAACTGAAGGAGGGGCCGTCTGGAGACCATTCCACTTGAGTATCCATCCCATGTGCAGTCACCAAAGGTAGATGCTGATGTGGATGTCAGGAAGTACATGCTGACAGGAGCCTGATATAGCTGTCTCCTTAGAGGTCTGCCAGACTCTGACATATACAGAGGCAGATGCTCACAGCTAGCCATTGAACTGATCATGGGGTTTCCAATGGAGGAGTTAGAGTGAAGACTGAAGGAACTGAAACTGTTTGAGGCCCCATGAGGAGAGCAACAATATCAACCAACCAGAGCTCCCAGGCTCTAAACCACCAGCCTAGGAGCACTTAGGGAGGGATCCATGGCTCCAGATGTATATGTAAGGGAGGATGGCCCTGTTGGGTATAGGTGGGAGAGGAAATCCTTGGTCCCATGAATGCTGGATGCTGCATGTGGGGGAATTTGAGGGTGGGGAGGTGGGAGAGTGGGGGTAAGTTCGGGTATATCCTCATAGAAGGAGGAGGAGGGGGGATGGGATAGGGGATTCCTGGGTTGGGGGTCGAGGATGGATGGGGTAAGGGGATAACATCTGAAATGTAAATAAAATATCCAATAAAATATAACCCTTTAAAACATAAACACATAGGGAGCTTGATATAAATGTCTGTGTTTGCATTGATGTAGTCAGCACCCAATCCACTGAGACTCAATTGGTATGTGTATGTTGAAACATCATATAAATGTTTATCTATGGTTTCCACCATGAGCTGTTTCTGACAGTGCTTTACATTTGAACAGCAACACACGTAATTATTTTCTGAATTCTTAGCAAATGCCATGTCTTATTATTACATATAAGAAAATACTGTGAGACTATCTTCCTAGTGATGTGTACATACACAGTAGTGATGTGCGCATACACAGTGAAGTCACTGACAAAGCCATGAGAAAGAAGTGCCTCTCGTAATGAAACCACAAAACTAAAATTTTCACATCTGGAATTTGTCCATATTCGAGTATGTGAATCATCCTAAATGACACTGCAAGTGGCCTTTGTCTTCTAATTTTAATGAATAAAATAATTATCAAATCCCTTTCTTCTTATATGTTTTTATAACCTAGTAGACACATAGCTTGGAGTTGTGAACAAATAGCAGTTTTTTCCCCAACATACAGGTTTGATACTCAGGCCAAAATATGTGCAGAATCCTTAGGGAAGGTGGGAAGGGAGTCAGTCAAAAGGCTCTGGTAATAATATCTGGAGCAGTTGTTCCCCGGCCCCTTAGCTGGAAACACTTTCTTTCCTCTTAGACTCCTGAGCCCCTGGAGGTTTCCCAGGATACACTAAGACAATTTAGCTCCATGAGTAAATGTTGAGCGAAGCGGGTGGGGGGTTAGAATTGTGAAGACAGGCCAGGTTGAATCTGATTTCTTGAACTAGATAGGCCTCTGTTTGATTTTAAATGAAAACGAAAAGGGGAATCATGGTGCAAGCAAGTTTTTCTCCAACTGGGCAAGGCCAAAACAGCCTTAGTTTCTGGTGTCTGTGTCTTGGTCACTTGCTCCCCTCCCAGCTCCCCCACCGAACACGCAAGCAAACAAACAAAACTACTAGGTAGTAGGAGAGAAGCCTGCAGAAGAGATTGGCTCTGACACAGTTCTAAGCGCCACCGTGAGGGCATCTCGAGGAAATTCCTGTCGCTGGAGTCCCGGTGGCGCGAGTGATCCGGGCTTCTGTTCCCAAGGCCTCCCAGGGCCCACGTGAGGCGAACTGGCCTATGGGGGAAGGCCAGGCAGAGGCGCTCCTGGGAAGTGGGCGAGGTTCTTGGGGACAGTGGGCGGGACAAGAGAGGCCACCTGCAGACACACCCTGGCTTCAGAGCGACCGTCTTCCCTTCCCCCTCCGGGCCTAGTGTAGACCCACACGCGGGATCTCCGAGCTCTAGGGTCCTTTTACCTAGCATTGTCAGGCCTGGGAACAGAACTTCATGTTCTTGTAAAAAGTCTTCTCAGTTGTTTTAGAGACTTGGAGAGGAATGGGAAAAAAACGAAAACCGAGAACGGTTGAGCCAAGAGAAGTCGGGCCTTCTAGGAAGCCTACCGCGCCAAACCGAAGGAGACCAAAAACAGACGGGAGGACTGAAGATGAAGCAGGCAAAAAGTCTTCAGCCACGGCTCTTGTACGGTAGGTGGTAAACCGGAAAGACATGCTTGTTTCTAGAAAATTAAAAAACGGGAAGAATTTTTAAAGCAGTATTAGTCTAAAGATTTACTATATTTTAAAAATATTAAAGCTACAAATGAGGAAAACGAAAGATTTAATGCCTAGAGTACAAGGGAATTTGCCCCTTTTTAAAAAAAAACTGTATGTTACACATGCAAAGTGAAGTTACAAGAGTGTGTGGCAAGGCCGTTTTTGTTTTTGCGTTTTGTTTTTTGCTTCTCTGATTAAAGTACAGTTTGTGTTTACTTTGTAATTTCTCAGAATTGGAATACTTTGCCAGTAAACTGTAAACTTTTTACAGTTTCTTGGAGTAGAAAGGGCTTCTGAATACAAATACAATAATGATGCCAAGCACTTAGCAATCTGCAGTGATTGCAGGGGAGCAAACGGTGTTAGTGCAGAAGAGCACTATCTGCAGGGCCGTACCCTGCGTGTATCCGGTTATATTTAAGAAGCAGCAAGTTTGAGTGCGCGCTTATGTACAGTTCTTTCCTTGCTGACATTGTTTAAAGGTTTATACTTTCAATCCTGGTCAGCGTTAAAGTGGGCTTGACTCTGCTATTCAACTTAAACATCTCAGCTAATGTGTATTCATATCTATTTTGTATTTATATTTTTATACAAACACGCCACTGAAGTACAAAAGGTGTGAATGCTATGTCCCTGCCTTTATTGAAATATGCTTAACACGTGAAAAGTCGGGTGTATTCGGTGTATGCAACACATTTATTTTTCCTGAAGTGATAAGCACAATCAAGTATCCCAAGTTACCTGTTTGAAATGTATTGTGTTGACAATATTCAAGAGAAATGCTAATGGTAAACTTCAGTTATTAAATTCTATATGTCTTACAGGTTATTTTTTAAGGACTAATTTGTTTTATATAAGTACACTGTGGCTGTCTTCAGACACACCAGAAGAGGGCCGGGATTCCATTACAGATGGTGGGCCACCATTTGCTGGGAATTGAACTTAGGAACTCTGGAAGAGCAATCAATTCTCTTAACCGCTGAGCCATCCCTCCAGCCCTGTCTTACAGTTTTTAAAGACATTTTTTGAGATGGAAATTTGTAGCAAATTCTGCAAAGTTAGAGTTCCTAAGTATTTTTTCTCTCCTCTTCTCCCCGCCCCCTCAACTCTGTATCCCTGGCTTCTAGCTGTCCTGGAACTAGCTCTGTAGATCTGGGTGGCCTCAAACTCAGAGATTCCCTTGCCTCTAGGATCCTAAGTTTCTTAAGCTTTAACGTGCATTCCTGTTTCCTTATCACGTGGCAATTTAGGTAAGGAAGGCCTTAATAATAAATTCCTTGAATAATATTATAGCTATTTTATATTGCTATATTGATTTTTAAATATTAAGGGAGAAACTAATGTTCTTTAATGAACAGGGTCGATGTAGAAACTCTTTGGAAATCTCTTATTTATCTAAAATCCAGTCCTTTTAATCTACCCAGAAATCAGAGGTACAGGTTTGAAATTTAAAATAGGATGTGTGTGTGTGTTTTATTATAAATTTTATTATAAATTTGTTGCAGCTTACTGGCCATAAATACGAAACTATATGTGTGTACTCAAAATGGGAATAAATTTGCAAAGAATTATCAGTGCTTGATCCAAGAGCTTATGACATTGCTTTTGTTCCTGATCAAGATAGGGCAACTTTCTAAATCCTTTGCAAGCACTGTATTTTAGGAGAGACCACTGTAAGACTTACTCCTAAACCTTAATGGGTATAATAAAAACATAAGGAGCACTCATCAGTGACTCTTGTGTGAAGGAAGTGTGGTTGTGCTCCAACGTCAGTCAAATGAACCTATGAGACAAATTCAAGTCCCTTTTGACTGGCATTTATAAAGTCACTCCAGGAGAGACAGTGTTGGGATGTGGAGTTTCCTGGACCCTCCTTTTAGAGTTCCAGCCATGTTGCCTCCTGCTGAACACAGAAGGCCAAATACCTTGGTGAGAAAATGGAGGATTCCCTGGGAATCTGATCCTGTGACCTAAGTCACCTGATATGGTGCCTAAATTTGCATTTCCTGGGAGCTAAATTCCAGAGTCTTTGTTTGCTTAGGAGGGATGCTCACCGAAGCAAATGACTGAGGTAAGAGTAAAGAATCTTGGCTGACTGAAGGGCAGGTTTGTTAAAGCCTTGGTAGAATACAAATAGAATTCTTGAAGACCATCCATAGCTAATGAAACTGGGTGCTACAGGCCTGTAGGCTGTCTCCTACCAGAACAAACTGGGTGGCAGCTTTCTTTTCTCAATCTTCCTCTCACAAGTATTTTTTTCCCCAGCCAAAGAGTGGAAAGTAGAAGGAGCGTGTTAATCGGATTTTCCAGAATAATACTATCACTCAGAGGAAGGTGTTTTCTAGCACCCTGTGGTGAGAGTATGTCTAACAGTTAAGGTTGGCTCTTTTGGTTAAGTGGGCCTAAGCCCTGAACTGACTGCTACCTTCAACTTCAAAGGAGCTTGAGACAAAGATGGGATCCTAGAGAAGAAACTAAAGGGGAACTGACTGAGGACAGCTGCCAGATAGGCTAATGGTTACAAGTCATGTAGCTCATAGTCAGTGAAATCAGACAGAAACAAAGCACTCAAGGAGTTTTGCTGGGAGGCTCTGGGTTTTTGTTTTCTGGCTCTGCTACTTGACCAAGGGGTAGGAGCCAAACAAACCTGCCCTCCATTCAGACAAGATTCCTACCTTAGTCATTTGCAAAGACTCTGGAATTTAGCTCCCAAGGAAATGCAAATGTAGGCACAGTAACTGGTGACTTAGGTCTGAGGCTCAGATTCCCAGGGAATCCTGCATTTTCTTACTGGTCTCAAAAGACACTCAGAATTGATGCTCCATTGTCAAGATCAAGGAGAGCCTAAAGCAAAGAGGTAGCCTTTTCCAGGCCCAAGAGATAACAGCTACAGTGGCTGTGCAGGTTTTCCCTAGGGTCTAGTGGAAGGCCTGTTCCAGAACAGTGTGATTCTCAACCTTCCTAAGGCTGTGACCCTTTAATATAGTTCCTCATGCTGTGCCGGCCCCCAACCAAAAAATTATTTTCATTGCTACTCTATAACTGTAATCTTACTATCGTTATGAATTTAATGTAAATATCTGCCTTCTGGTGGTCTTAGGTGACCCCCGTGAAAGGGTTGTTTGACCCCCCCCCCCAAAGGGGTCACAACATACAGGTTGAGAACCACTGCTCTAAAAAGACATGCTCTTACCTCAGTTTTCATAAGAGATGAGACTTTGCCTATTTAAAGTGGATGTCATTTTAGTAATAAAAATGAAACTCATGATACTTGGGATCTAACTGTTGATTCATGTTAGCAGGTGTAATTCAACTGTCTGCTTCTTAGCATTTTTTAAATGTAGATTCCCTGTAGGCCTGCCAGGATATCATCTTATGAGAATTTTAAGCACACCAGGAACACGAGGACTCTTGGTCTCAGCGTAGTAAGAAATACTGAATATTTCATAGGAGTCACTGTACATGACCATTTCCCTCTCTGTACTAGTGGTAGTGTTGGTAGCTGAGCACTCCCAAGAGAGGAAGGAGTGCTAGCTACTCTGCTATATTGCCGTAGTGCTTGCTCACCACTTGAATTCCTTTACCCAGGTTTGTTTCTCCTCTCCTAAGCCTTCATCCCTGTCTTCGAGGACAAAGAAGTTACCAGGGAAATTGATGATAGGCCTGGCTGTCATTGAGAATGCTCTTGATTAAGGTAAGCCATGGAATAAGTGGAGACATTTGAAACAGCATGTTTCCATGGTCTTGAGTAGTGTGTGAAAGTGACCCAGGCCTTCAGCCGACAAGCAGGTGGTGAGAAATGCTGTACCAGCTAGGTTAAGCTGTCTGCATTAAAGCTATAGTCTCCCCTTGTGCTAGACTAAGGGGGTTACATGTGTGAAGATAGTGCATTGTTTCTGAAGTTAGAAATGTGGGCCACAGATAAGGTAGCTCAAAGCCCTAGAAATCTTAAGGTGCAATAATTTTGTAGTCACATACATTAAGAAACTACATCTAGCCAGAAGGTGAGTGGAAACCTAAAGTAGTACCTTCCTGTGTCCCAGGAATTCAAAAATGACAGATTGCAGCTATGGCTAACTCAGATATTTTTCAAGCATTAAATTCGTGTCAGTTCAAATCTCAAAATGAAAGGGCCAAAGGAAAGAAACAGTTCAGTAAAGGCATAATGGACCCCTATCTGTTCCTTAGCAGAGAGTCTTAAATTCACCTGTGCTGAAGTTAAAGTACAGTTCAGTAAGTACTTCCATAATGCCCCCTATGCTTTAAGTGAGCAAGAACATGAAAACAACGTCATTGCTACAACTCAGTTTGTGTGGAGCTTTACAGAACTCTAAAAAGCTCTAACCACAAAAGCAATGGTGTCCATTGATTCGCCACTTCCAATGTCAATGGTTACGACAGTTAACCTTTCTCATAGACATTCCTTTGTCCAAAGACTGCCTCCTGAAATTACTCACACAGTCATGCTCTACGGGAAAGTGCAGAGGTGGGTACAATGAAGAAGAGTGAATTCCTTTTGTAAGAGTACCAATGGGTTAGGGAAAGGGGGCCATTTTCCCAGGCTCTGTATGCAAAATAGTCTTCTTAAACCTTTAGAACATTGAAAGCCATTTCCACGTCCTCTTTAGGGGAAAGATAGAGATGCCTTTGTTATAGGAATGAAAAAAAAAGATTGTTGGTTCTTTCAGGTGAAGCTGTTTTGGTTAGAAAATAGGTCAGGAGCCATTTAGGAAAGGCTAAGGTCAGCAGGTGGCCTTCCTGGAGGTGGCCAACATTTTTGCATGGACTAAGATGGGTGAGCTTTATGGGGCAAGGTCCCAAAGAGACTTCATCTCAGGATTGCTTTTTGCAGCTGATATGCCTTTCCTATTATTATTAAATTAGTATTATATAATCCCTAGACATTAGCTTATCCTGTTGAGCAGGATCCTGTCTTGCAGATCAACATAAAGATGAACTTTCATGAATTAATGCTATATAGATGAATTAGTCATTTTACAGAGTTCCTGATTTGATTCAAATAATATTAGGAAGAAAGTTTTAAGAGACAGTTCTAGGCAGAGGGAGGCGGATTTCTGAGTTCGAGGCCAGCCTGGTCTACAGAGTGAGTTCCAGGACAGCTAGGACTACACAGAGAAACCCTGCCTCAAAAAACAAAACAAAACAAAACAAAAACAAAGCAAAACAAAACAAAAAAACAAGACACAGTTCTAGTTGTTTGCTAGGAAGAAGTTAAAAATCAAGAATAGAATGTGCCCACTCCTCAGAATAGTAAGTAAAGGCTGCATAATAATAAATACAATGACCTTTCATGATTATGCTAAAATGAGATATAGTTTTGAGACAAATTTGTTTTTAAGGAAGAACATTCAGGTCCAAGGATGAAAAGCCACAGACGTGTAGAATGATAAGACAAAACCATGAGAAACTGTTGCTTTGAACTTACAATGAGCATAGAGAATGAAACACTGCTTTGAACTTAATATCAACAGCCATCTGTAACTCCCATTTTGTGTAACATTTTATCTAATAGGTAATTTTCTGAGAACTTTTGTCTATAAAAGAGCCAGAGAAAATAAATAAAGATGGTGTGGTATGCTGTGGTGTGGTGGCTTGGGGAGCTCTGCCTCATCCATCCGTCCATCCGTGCAAATGTCTATGTCTGTTTATATGTACGTATGTAGGTATGCGTGTGTGTGTGTAAGCATGCATGAGTTCTTGTGGAGTTAGTTGAGAGAGATGCTTGGGCCTGTCCAGACTGTGGGTGTATGAATGCATATGTGTCTGTGCAAAGATTCCTGTGTAACGGATTTTAATTCTTGTCCTTTCCTTCCTCTCTGGTTCACCAAAATTTAACCAGCCAGGTCAGTGAAGGAATTCTGGATGCCTGACCAGAAAAAAAGAGGATTAGCAATAAATCCTTTACCTAACCTCCCTCACCACCCCCCACCCCAGGTATCAAGGTGATTAAATTAATCTGAAGCCATCAGCTTCTGGCCCCATTATAACTAAGAATCAAAGAGAGTAAATATTTTCAATACTAAACAACCTTTACGCTTGTGAAACCAAGTTTTACCCCCCTGTCGACTCGCTGCCCGTTCTGCAGCAGAGGGTCCAAGCCGGGAAAGCTCCCGTAGAAATATAAGAATTTCTCTACTTATTTATTATACACATGTTTAAATATGTTGTTCACAGAAACATGGTGAGCAAAACAGTGACTACGTCCAAAGGACTAACTGTGTAATTGTCTGTTGTTTATTTGCCTTCAAGTTGTTAAAAATCTGTTATTAGTATTATTATTCTCAATTACTAGTTTTCTGTGAATGGGCATTTGGTTGGCATGCGTGTCTGTGTACTCCACACATGAATGGTGCCCACAGAGGCCAGAGGAGGGCATCAGATCCTCTGGAACTGGAGATATGAGTCACTGTGTTGGTAACAGAACTCAGGTCCCCTGAAAGAACAAGTGGTCTTAACCACTGGGCTACCTATTCAGCCTCAGCCTTGAGGTTTTAATTTATTCTTGTGTTTAGAATTAAAATGTTGTGTTTAGAATTAAAATGAAAATAGAAAACACATAATATTTGAAATTTTTTTTAAAAAGGGAAAAAAAACCAAGAAAAAACCCAGTACCATTTAAAAACATAACTGGAAAATAACCATGTCTTTTTCTCTAAAAATAATCACATTTCTATGCAAAATTTAAAGACATCACTTTTTATTGGCATGTATTAACTGTGCAAAAAAGCAAGTTTCACAATTACATTTCTTTTCTTTTGTGGGGAGGGGACCAGAGTTTGAGACTCCCAAATTCAGAATAGTTTGGACCTCATGATGTAGCCCAGATTGTCCTCAAATTGATGGCTGTCCTTCTGCCAATCAAGTGCTGGAATTAGGCATGAGCCATCACACCTGCTAGTGATGATATTTTCATATAGAGGTTTACTATATTTTGATAACAAACATCTTTTCTGTTACCTTGTACCTTCTTACATATTGTCTCTCCCTCTTCCATATCCCCATATTCCCTGTAGCTCTCAAAGGCTTCCCTCTTAAAGACCTCACTCTTAATTTTTATGCACGTGGAATACTATTAATTTCTCCATGTAATGACATATGACAAGGGTTATGATATGAGACCTGAGAATACAGATGATAGAAGCAACTGAAGAGGCAAGGATATATATATTCTTTTTTTTTTTTTTGGTTTTTTTGAGACAGGGTTTCTCTGTATATAACCTTGGTTGGCCTGGAACTCACTCTGTAGACCAGGCTAGCCTCGAACTCAGAAATCTGCCTGCCTCTGCCTCCCAAGTGCTGGGATTAAAGGCGTGCGCCACCACTGCCCGGCATATATATTCTTTATATATTATGCAGGTCAGTCAATACCAACTAATCCTGGCAGCCTGTATACAAACATGTGCTCACATATATGTTGTCCAATAAGTACAACAGCAGAATGCAATTGATCAAAGATGAGATAGCTATACAGTATTTAAGAGTATTTCTTTAGTTTTGTTTGTTTGCTTGTTGTTTGTGATCTGTTGGCCATTTGTGATTTAATATGTTTGTATTTCCAGTTGGTGATAGAAAATGGGAAAACAGAAGACAACCACTTTATAAAACCCTTGTCTGCTTGTATTTGTGGTGCTGGTAAGTTCTATATTTTCTATCCATGACTAGTGTGTAATTTTAAGAAATGTTACTTCTAAAACCACAAAAGTTAAAGAGGAAACATTAAATATATTGCATATTCCAGGGCTAGGTGTGGTTGCTCTGACTTTAATTCCAGCACTTAAGAGTCAGAGGCAGGCAGATGGATCTCTTGAATTCAAGGCAACCATGGGCTACGCAGTGAGACCTTGTCTAAAGGGGGGAAAAGTACATATTGCAGAGAACAGTTAGCATGCTTCTGGGACCTCAGACTAATGATGATGAGGAAAACCTGTATGTGGATAGGGAAAATAAGAGCATGTATCTTGCTGGGCGGTGGTGGTGCATGCCTTTAATCCCAGCACTTGGGAGGCAGAGGCAGGTGGATTTCTGAGTTCGAGGCCAGCCTGGTCTACCGAGTGAGCTCCAGGACAGCCAGGGCTACACAGAGAAACCCTGTCTCGAAAAACCAAAAAAAAAAAAAAAAAGAGAATGTATCTTGACCTTCTAATTTTGATTCAAGTGCCTACTTTTTTTTGGCTTTATAATTCTCAAAATGAAAGCAACTTGCCAGCAACAGTGCTTTCACATACTTTACATACATACATACATACATATATATATATATATCTAGAAGAGGATCTACTTACAAGAATAAATATAAAAAGTTTTCCATTTAGAGAAAATATATTAATATGGAAGTATTCTGAGTGTACTGTTGGTATAGAAAGCTGTACTCAGTATGAGTCAAATGACCATTAAGGTGGCCGAACTATGTGCTTATATATATGTACATAACTTGTAGCAGTATAGATAAGTATATCAAACAAAAAAGCATCATTTATAGTGATTTACTTACTAAAAATGAGAACTTGAAAAATTAATATGTAATTTTGTCAGACTGCTTAGGAATAAGGAGTGAAGTCTATTTGTTGTTTTTTAGTTTTTCTCCTTTTTAATTTTTTTATTTTACACACATTAGCTTAGCTTTGCCTGGTGACACTTGTTTCCTCGGCTGGCCTCAGGCTCGTGCTATTCCTCATGCCTCAGCCTCCAGAGCAGTAGAATTACTGAGCTGAATCACCACATCTGGTTCATTTCTGTGTGAACCATAATGTAAAAAACATCTAATTTTAATACAAATTTACTATTATATATGAAAATAAATTTTGGACTCTGTCGAAAGAGACTGAAGGAGATAATCTAAAAGTTTATCAGTGATCCTAACAGGCTGTGAGGGAGGAGTTGGTTTACTGCATGGTTGTTTTTGGAGTCTTTGACTTGTACTATGCTTAGAGCCTATGAGAAAATGGTTTTTATACTTTTCTCTACAACACAGATGATTGTCCCCAAACACCGAATGACATCATATCATAGAAAGCAGGTGAAGTCTATTTAATGACATGGCAAAGTGCTATGTTCACAAGTGATAAATGAAAGTGTCCATGCAGAAGCACAGGTCTCATTTCAAAAGGGAATAAGACATGATGATAGTTTATTCTGGAGCCAAAATGTGACCATGACCCAGAAAGACAAAAATACTATGTTCTGTAGTTGAAGTACTTACATGATATTTTATTATAAAACAAAGAAAGTCATAAATCAAATTGGGAGAAGTCTCAGGTATGTGAGTTATAGCCAAGGGAAGAATTGTGATGTAGGTTTCAAAATAGATCCCTTTGGTTGGTGAAAGCTAGTGATCTGCTAAGAATACATTTTAAGGTGTTGATAGTCAGACACCGGACGGCAGTGGATAGCTTTGAGAGGGATTGAAAATAGCACGAGATAGTTTGGCCTTGGCTTGCAATACCTGTATAACCTTAAAGTTCAGTCTTTTGAGCCTAAAGTTGAATCTGATCATGGTAGCTCATGCCTTTAGTCCCAGCACTTGGGAGGCAGAGACAGGAAGGTTTCTGTGAGTTAAAGGCCAGCCTGGTTTACAAATTGAGTCCAGGACATCCAGGGCTGGTTACACTGAGAAACCTTGTCTCAAGAAAACAAAAACAAAGTTCAATCTCTTGGCTTTGTAGAGTCTTTAGCACAGGGTCAGCTTCTGTTCTTTCTTCTAGTATTTTTATCATAAAAGCCTAAGAAAGCACTTGAGTAATCTGACTGGCATAGGAATCCTGCCATGTACTACATACATATAGTGATGAAAACTCTCTGAGCATCCTCTTAAGGTCTTGGCCAAAAGGCTGCCAACAATTCAGCCTATAAAGTCTATGGCCTAGGTCTATTTCAGAATATGGTGAATTACTTGGGAAATTGGAAGATGAACCAAAAAAGGACGTTACCTAGAGAGGTACTCCTGAGCTCGAGTTCCCGCATCTTCCTTTCCTTTCCTTTCCTTTCCTTTCCTTTCCTTTCCTTTCCTTTCCTTTCCTTTCCTTTCCTTTCCTTTCCTTTCCT